TAATAGTGATTCGGACAACGCGATAGTACGACAGTTCTACAATAAAATACTTTCATGCTTTAATCCTACAATACGAATGCAATACTGTATAGTGCCTCACTAGTTAACACTATATGATGCCGAACAGGAAAATTCGGTCAAAATCCGGATGCGCTTGCTGCAGTGGAGCGCGTCAGCACCCTCTTCCGAGAAAGAACGCAGCCGTGGCACAGGCCAGGCTTCCAGATCCTGAACCCTAAACCCGCAACCCTAATCCTAAACCCTGAACCCTTGAGGCCCTAAACCCCTTAACCGTAGACCCTGAAGACAGCATGGAAGCTGCAGTTGCAACAGTTTCGCCTTCGCTCTTCTCTTTTTCCCTGGTAGGTGTTTTCGAGAAGTGCACATAAGGGCTGCGAACTTGACGGCTGACGAGGACACCCCTTTTCAGATTCAGGAGGTGTCCGGTAGGGCAGTTTCAGGGGTTTCGGTTTAGGGTTTAGGCTTTACGGTTCAGGTTTAGGGTTTAGGGTTTAGCCCTCAGACCCAGCGTNNCGTCCTGCCGCACTTGAGGGGTTGCCGAACGCTCCGCGTTTTTCGAGGTTTTTGGCTGCCAGGGGTCTGAATTCGTTTAGCCCTCATTTAGGGTTTAGGGTTTGCGGTTTAGGGAGAGGGTTTATGGGCTTGGTGTTCAGAGTTTAAAGGATCCTGAGCACAAGGACTCTCAGAAAGAAACGGCCCCTAGGATTAGAAGCGTCCTGTACCGTAAAGCCTAAAGTGTGCGCTTTGGGGCTTAGTAGAAGGCGAGAGAGAGAGGGAGAGAGAGAGAGAGATTAAACCTGGTAGAGAGAGAGAGAGAGATTAAACATATGCGGGTGGGCCTGTGGCCGGGGGGTCTTCGCCGACCCTCATGCCCGGGGAAGAGAGCGAGAGAGAGGGAGGACTTCCACGTGGGTTGCTAGTTGGCTGCTGGACCAGGTACGTTAAACAACTGAGGTTCGTGGTGGTGTACTGTTCACACCCATTCAAACATCCCCCCAAAACGGGGGGGCCCTTGTGGCCCGGAAGTTGCGCACACCCCCCATGCCCTGGAGAAGAAGAGAGAGCGAGTGAGACCGGCGAACGGCGGGCCGGGAGATGCCTCCAGGGGTACTACGAGTCACGGCCGTGACGAAGTGGTGCTCGAAGATTAAATTCAGAAGATCTCACAATGTGCTCGTGGAACCTGCATCACATCTTGACACTGCTTTACTTCCCTCGCCCTCGACTTTCACACGACTTAGCACCGAAAATTCAGGTAAAGTAGGAAAAGCATGGCCAAATCCCTAAACCCTAAACCCTTAAACCCTTAAACCCTTAAACCCTTAACCCTTAAACCCTTAAACCCTTAAACCCTTAAGCCCTTAAACCCTTAAACCCTTAAACCCTTAAACCCTTAAACCCTTAAAGCCTTAAAGCTCTAAGCCGTCTAAACCACTCTCCAGGGCCGCCCGCCAGCAGAGGGTCTGGAGAGCTTCATCGCCTTTATCT